GCATGTAATATAAGTCAATGTTCAAACAACAAAACCGCTAATGAAAGCATTAATTTAAACCTTGGGAGTATGACGTGCACTTTGTTACGGTGCGTCAAAATAAATTCAATACTAACACTTATACGTAGTATAGCGTAGTAGAGTTCGTATCCACAGGGAAAGGAAATCATTCTCTTTTTATAAAACTAGTAATTAAAAGGGGGGGGGGTTTGATTGAGTGATTTAATTAAATTAAACGCGAAGATGAACGACTTATATGGGATTAAATTCAAGAATAAAAGGAACTTGGTCTTGCTACTTTCCACTTGTTAATATATTTTAGTCGATCATTGTTATATCTATAACTTATCCCCTCTCGAATACTCAATCGCGGAGTATATCCAATTCATCGAGGGTAGTTATTAACAACGACCGTTCATTAATAACCCTTACTATTAGTCAAGTATAGAACACCGCCATATACCGACTTGATAGTAGCATTTAATCTCTTAACTCCTTGATGAAATCAATTGAGATTGATAACCTCAACACAACGGTTTCGGTTTAACCAACAAAATTAATCCCTCTTAAGTTTATTAACCACGACCGTGCATTAATAAACCGAAGTTACTTACTTGTGAAACCATCAACGATTAACCATCGGTTCGTTGAACGTTTCTAGTAGTAATTAACGTTGAGATGTTAACTAATTGTCATCTTAGCAACACTCCCCAACATTAACATAGAGATAAATTAAGGGAAGAATTAATATTCAAGGAAGAAGATTAAATATGAATGATCCTACTATAACTAATGTCAAGATGTTATCTAATTGTCATCTTAGCAACACTCCCCAACATTAATATATAGAGGAAGAAAATAAATACTACTATAACTAATGTCGAGATGTTAACTAATTGTCATCTTAGCAACACTCCCCAACATTAATATATAGATAGATTAAGAGAATAATTAATATTCAAGGAAAGAGGTTAAGAAAATAACTCACAACTTTAATAATCAACAAGCTTCAAGAGCAACACCAAGAAATGGAAGTTTAGCTCCTCATTTGGAGACTAAACATGCTATAAAAATATAAAAGAAATACTATTCTAAACTGAGCTTAAGAGTATGGAAGAAGGAGTGATTATTTGTGAAGGAAAAGTGTGCTATTTATAGGTGTTTTTCAACACCTTTGGCCGGGTACCCGACCGGGTAAAGTGCCCACCCGACCGGGTGCATGTCAAAATCAAATATCCTCCACGTTCTGGTGATCTTCGGCATGTTAAAGTGTCCCGGATCAAGTCAGACCCGACCGGGTGAAATACCTCACCCGACCGGGTGATGTAATTTCCTGGGTACCTGCATCTGTTAAATCAAACCCGACCGGGTGCAGTGTCTGACCCGGCCGGGTCTGTGCACCTGGGTATTTTTCTTCTTCTTTTCACTTCTTTTCCTTGTCAATAACTCTACTACTACTTTACAACTTACTAAAAATGACTAAAATCAATTACAAACAAATGAAGACGATTGCTTACAAACTAACTAACACGGGTGAACAATCCACACAAAATAAACACAAAAACATACATTTATGCACTACTAACTAGTGCATATCAGCGTATTTGACATTTAGCGGTTAGGAGATATCTGATTATTTAGCGGGTTGTAAATAACAGATTCAATCAGCGGGTTTGACTAGCGGAAAAAGTTGACGGGTTGTGACAAGATGTTTGGTAATTTAGTTGTTTGGCCATAAAACTAGTAGAAAATGTCATATTTCACAACACTAATCCAAAACTCTCATATTTACAGCGTTTCTATTTCAGCGTTTCTGTCCAAAAACGCTAGTTCAAAACAGCTACTCACCAAACAGTTTTTCACTTATTATAAACGCTAAAAGTGGTCAAACCGCCATTATTTTTCAGCTGAAACGTCATTTACTAAACATCCTCATTATTCATTATAAAAAAATTGACAATATGCGTAGAAGAAGATTTGTTTTTAGTATATACTATATGTAATATATTACCTTTTTGTTTTGGCAATATAAAATTTTATTAAAGAAAATACAGGGAAGAAAAATAAGAAAGAGCATGACAAAAACAAAAGTGAGTATACCCAACCCAATGTTCGCCGCATTCACACGTCCCTCCCTAAGAAAACTCGAGCACACATTGAATCATTTAAAAAATCTGGTCGTGTTTGATATCTAGTCCTCATAAGACGTGAACGTTGATTTTTCTTCTTGTACATTTTGAGCTGCGTGTTCAAATTCTTTGTAGGTAAGCAATTTTCTCTCGTGACCAATAGAGCTTTTTCATAGATTTCCTGGTTTGCATCAGTCCATAGATCCTCCACAGCGGAAATAGGAACTCTCCCCTCATTCTCAGAAACATGACCCAGATTTTTTTTTGTCAAATCTTTCTAACCTATTATAGTATATGTTCTGTTAAGGCCAACATCCTTGAACTGGGATGAGATTCGAACTTGTGACCTCCTCTTTGGAAGTGTCACAGTGATGTCATCAGACCACAAGATACTTGACATGACCTAGAAATTCGTCCCTTGAATATGTAAAAAATGGTTCGCTAAAAACTATATATTTCAAATTCACTTGATATTTTGTGTTACGCAATTATTACAGTGTAAGGATGTTTTTACTTGGACTATTTTGAATCCCAAACCAGATCACAGATTAGACCGGATCAAATCAGACCAGACTTGGACAGTTATAAAATATACATAGACTAGACATTTACCAATTCAGACCAGACCAGACCAGAAAATTCCAGTCCAAGTAAAAACATGCTAATTCAAAATGTATATGCAATATAATACATTGTACATTTTTATATTTAAAGCAGGTCCCTTATTTATATTTGACGTTGTGTGTGTGTATGTGTAAGGGAGAGTTCAAATAAAAAGTAGTGCTCCCGTGCAAAGTGCGAACGGTTGCACTTTCCCTCACCGCGTTGCACTATTGCATGTTTCTATTCCTCTTTTACGCGATGGCAGAAAACTTCAGTCTATTTACGAAATTGACACCGCGCTTTTGATCATATCTAGTGCGTTGTTGGTTGTTGGGTCATTTTGAGCCATTAGATCTGGAAATGAATACACATGATTTATTCTCACTTTGCATGATAAAACGTCTTTGTATTTAAACCTTGCCATAAGGGCACGAGAGAAAATTGTTTACCTACAAAGAATTTGAACACGCATGTACGCTCATGGTTTTCATAGTATTGACCTAATATATAGGTGCAAAACATTTAAGCTCATATTCTCACTTTGCATGGGTCAATACTACTATTAGGTCAATTATAAAAACGTATTCCTATTTTTGCTCCTCCTCTTTTACTCCCATTTGGGGAATAATGTGATCTTATAAAATGCATTGGTGCATGTTTTAGTACTAATACATTTTGTGTGAATTCGATTTTTAATTAGCAGGGAGTGAAATTAGGGCATTAATTACAGGGCGGAAAAAGCGCATGCATTAATTATATGCTCGATTGCTCGTATTTTGTTAACATATATTTTGACCATCATTATATTTAATTCTGTATTAGTAAAAATAAAATAAAAATCAGATTATTATAAACTTAGTAATGAAACGAATTTAACAATAATATTTTTCAAAAACAATAATTTGTATACATTAATAAATAAAATGAAGTCAAAGTAAAGTGCATGAATAGTCAGGACCGTCTTTAGTTAATTTGGTGCCCTAGACAAAAACTGAAATTACATTTTCATATTAGTCAATAATGTTTTACACAATAAATTATATATAGAGTAGTTGATTAAAAACAACAAATGGAAAATGCAATCAAATATAGAAATTGAAAATGCAATCAAATAAAATCATGTAAATTAAAATATTACCTTTGTAGTACATAATATAAAAATGCTACTTTTATAAATCTATTCTTCTTCCATTTTGAAGTGCAAAATCCGCCATTAATTCACTAAAATTAGAGGTAAAAACACCTTTTTATATTGAAAACATAGCTAGACGTCTCATCTATCATGTGGCACTATTGAATGAAGATGTTTTTCAATAAATAGTACTAAATAATGTTTTCCAGGATGTTTTACTTGTATACAAAATCCTAAATATTTCATAATGCATGAATAAATTAAGAACATGGTTTTAACAAATTAAAAAATAAATAATTACAAATACTTATGATCAAAATAAAGATTATTTACAAAAATGTGACCTCTTATGTATAGTGGTTATAATAGTAATTTAGTCATAGTAACTTATATTCAAGTTTTATACTTAAATGACCATGAAATTATAATAAAGTAACTATCAGTCATATTATGTTTTAAGTTATATTTTAAACCAAAAATAAAATACACTATAGTAATGCATAATTATTAGTAAAATTGTACGTAGTATTCATAGAAGAAAATAGATTGAATTATGAGAGAATTCCCTAAATAGGAGTAAAAACGTTTTGAAATTCCAAAATAGGAGTATCATGTTTTTTATTCCTTGAATAGGAGTAATCTGCCAAATTTGGAAGAAAATGCCATGTTTAAAAGCCTTGTAATGCCAAACTTGGCAGAAATTTACTCTTATTCTAGGAATAAAAAACATGATACTTCTATTTTAGAATTTCAAAACGTTTTTACTCCTATTTAGATCAATTTCTGTTGAATTATAGGACCAGTGTTATCTATTTCTCTTCATTTACCATCGGTCCTTCACCTTTACTTTTTTTCTTTAGTATTACTGGACGCTACTAGTACTACATGTATATACGAATTAGGACTTAGGAGTACATGATAACAGTAGTTTTATTTATAAAAACGGGTGCCCCACATGAAAATGGTGCCCTAGGCATATGCCTAGGTGCCTACCCCTAAAGCTGGTCCTATGAATAGTGTATATATTTCAATGTTGCAATTAATGTGATATGGAGGATAGTATGTGCCTGTATGTATATAGTAATCTGTATATACACACACTAATTACTAATAGACGTGAAAATGAAAAAAAAAAGGAAGTAGCGCAGCAGTGGCGGGAGACAGTGTGAAGGAATGGTACTTCTTCTGCATAAGAGGAAGGAAATACAAGAACAGCGTGAGGCCAAATAGGGTAACAGGTTCCGGGTTCTGGAAGGCAACTGGCATCGACAAGCCCGTTTTCTCCTCCGGCGGGGGCGCCGCAGCGGCAAGTGACTGCATCATCGGACTCAAGAAATCACTGGTTTTCTACAGGGGAAACGCAGGAAAAGGAACCAAAACTGATTGGATGATGCATGAGTTTCGCATGGCTCCACCGCCTGACCCCAAAGAAGCGGCTGCTACTCAAGATCAAGCGGTATGTATGTATGTATGTATGTATGTATGTATGTATGTATGTATGTATGTATGTATGTATGTATGTATGTATGTATGTATGTATGTATGTATGTATGTATGTATGTATGTATGTATGTATGTATGTATGTATGTATGTATGTATGTCGATCTACATGGATTTTTTCAGGAATATTACTAAAATAACACGTATTTTCAAAAATATGATTGATAGTTATTGTCACGCCCCGGACCTACCGGACACGTCAACAACCCGCCGTACAGTACGAATAGTCAACCGCAGTTCAACTCATCCATACTATACTAGGCGTCATGAATATCATTCACAATAGTACATCCATAAACAATCATAATGCAAAATATTTAATCAAGCAGCGGAAACTTTTAATACAAGTATTCAAGCCACACGTGGCAAACACGGGCATACAAGCCCTAATAAATATTCAAACGATATCCATGAGCAATATTTAAAATGTTTTCAAAACAGGAACGGAAGAAGCACGAACCACGTCTCCTCCCTTGAATCTCCCCGAAGCAACGGCGGCGGTAGCAACCTTCAAGTCCTACCTGAAACTGTGAGGTGGCCTCCCCCGTGAAGGGGAGGTCAGTACTTGGAAGCATTTGACAAGTACAATGACAACTATACTAAGTATAATCAAAGTTTCAATTTCCAAGACCCTCACATAGGGTGATAATATAATATAGGTCATAACCCGTGGTTACCCTCTTTGAAAATATACTTACTTTATATATAAAGTCAAGTAGTCGGCCCGAAGACCCATGTTTTTCTTTAAAAACGTTCAACCCTTTCCCCGTGACTTCAAGCCACGCCCATCTATATTAATTCACCATGCTAGAGGCTTCCTCTAGTCATGTTTTACCGTGCTAGAGGCTTACTCTAGTCACTAAATTCGGTGTTAGAGGCTTCCTCTAATCACCTTACATACTTTGTGCTGGAGGCTTCCTCCAGTCACATTACATTATGCTAGAGGGTTCCTCTAGTCATCCTACACGAATGCTGGAGGCTTCCTCCAGTCATTCTTCATCGTGCTAGAGGCTTCCTCTAGTCACGATACTAATTCGTCCTACACGAATGCTGGAGGCTTCCTCCAGTCATTCTTCATCGTGCTAGAGGCTTCCTCTAGTCACGATACTAACTCACTAGCAAATTCTATGCCTAGAGTTCCTCAATCTTGAGTAGCCAATGAGGCCTACTCCTAATGTAACTTAGTGGTTACCCCTTCCTACCTTAAGGCATCTCATAAGACTACTTAAGGTGCATCCTTCACAATCCAAGTCCTTAGGATTGTTCTATCACTTTTTATACAACATTCCCGATTAGTAAATTAAATACTAATCCATAAATCTTTAAACAGCCCAAGCTCCTTAACTCATAGTTATAAGGCTCATTCCTATGGATTTTCTAATCCGTATACGATTTAATCTCAATATCAAAAATATCACTTTTATCCATTCATGATTTCTATACATGAAGTAAAAGTATATTTTATCACAAAAACTCATGGTTTATACAATCATTATACCTTCACATTTATTATGCATCATCATACACAATTTCTCATAAATTTGTATGTTATGCATCTTCTATTCACAAACAATGATATTTTCATTTAGGCATTATTAATCATTAATAATCCATGAAAATCACATTTAATTACTTTAGGTAATCTTATGAAATTAACCCAAAGATTATAAGCAATATAGTCAGCCATCCTCACCTTATGAAGTGCTGAATTAGTTGCCTTTGTTAAGCCCTCCGATCAATCCCCGTTCTAAACCGGTTGAAAATGAAAAATCTGGGCAGTCAGCAAAAGCCGGGCGGCTTTCACGAAAGCTGGGCGGCTTTCGTGGTCTGCAACTACGAACAGCCTCCTACACTTGGCGGTTTCCGGCGGTTTCAACTCCTATCGATTCCACGACTCTTCTAAGTTAAATACCACCACTTTATAACAATATTACACACTTTTAAACGTGTAGAACTCATGGTTTAATCCACCATATGATTCCTTGAAAATCATACAAGATTAATACTAGTTAAAGAATAAAGGTGTGTTCTTACCTATTCTTCTTGCCTTTCTCCTTTGGTTTTCCCTTTCTATGGCTTCCTTCAAGCTTGAGGATTGTGAGGGTCAACTCTAGAGCTCTCTCCCTCTCTTGTGGTTGGCTTGTGCGGATGAGGCAAGAGGTAGGGGAGTAGTATCTCTATCCAATCACTCCCAAGAATAGTCCAAGACTATAACATGGGGTGTGTAGTTTTTGTCTCTAGGAGACTTCCTCCACCATCCATCCGCATCAACCCTCATGTGTTGTCTAAATTTGACTTATTTAGACTCTCCAAAGTGTGTAGGAACTTCCCAAATGGGTGTAGGAAGTTTCCCCCAATTATTCCTGCTATTTTCGGTAGGTTGGGCCAAAATAGCGCTCGGGTTGTCCAAATATTTTTATCAACTTCGGTTGGCATTTTATTGGGCCCCTATAATTATTATGATAACCCAACTAAATATTTGGTAGCCCATTCTCATATAATGGACCCGATATGTAATTTAATTAATCATGCATTAATTAAATATGCCAATCAATTACATGAATTTTATTTGCTAGGAAATTTCAATTCATATCCTCTTTAAATTTCAAGTACAATCGGGTGCGGTGTCACAAGTTCACCCCCCCTTAACGGGAATTTCGTCCCCGAAATTCACAAATGCTTAATCGAAAAGGAATGCATACTGTTCCTTCATTAAGGCTTCCGTTTCCCAAGTTTCTTCTTCAACTCGGTCACTTTTCCAAAGGATTTTAACCATTGGAACCTTCTTGCTTCTTAGTTTCCTTACTTGCCTATCAAGTATCCTCACCGGTCGTACGGCATAGTTCAAATCCTCACGTATTTCCACGGGTGGTTTCTCTAACACGTGAGACGGATCCGGCACATATTTCTTTAGCATAGACACGTGGAACACGTTGTGTATCTTCTCCAATTCTGGAGTCAACTGCAATCGGTATGCTACGGCCCCAATTCTTTCAAGAATCACAAATGGCCCTATGTAGCGTGGGTTAAGCTTCCCTCGGCTTTGAAATCGGATGATTCCTTTCCAAGGTGAAACTTTCAAGAATACCTCATCTCCCACCTTAAACTCTAAGGCCCTCCGACGCTTATCGGCATAGCTCTTCTGTCTATCCTGGGCCGCCTTAAGCCTTTCGCGAATCATCTTCACTTTAGACTTGGTGATCTCCACCAATTCCGTGCTCTCGAGTTTGGCCATGCCAACCTCATCCCAACACAAAGGTGTACGACATCTCCTCCCATACAATGCCTCGTATGGAGGCATGCCAATACTCGCCTGATAACTGTTGTTATAGGCAAACTCCACGAGTGCTAAATGGTTGTCCCAACTCCCTTGGAACTCCAATGCACAAGCTCTCAGCATATCCTCTAAAATCTGTATGACTCTCTCGGATTGTCCATCCGTCTGTGGATGAAAAGCAGTGCTAAACTTCAATTTCGTTCCCATAGACTCTTGGAACTTCGGCCAAAATCGTGATGTGAATCGTGGGTCCCTGTCGGACACAATGGTTATAGGAACCCCATGTAGCCTCACGATCTCATCCACATACAATTTGGCTAACCTCTCCAGTGCATAGGTGGTGTTGATAGGTAGAAAATGTGCACTCTTCGTGAGCCTATCAACCACAACCCATACGGCATCATAGTTCTTCACAGTCCGTGGTAGCCCTACCACGAAATCCATAGTCACGTGTTCCCATTTCCATTCTGGAATGGAAAGTGGCTGCAATAACCCCGCTGGATGCTGATGTTCTGCCTTGACTTGCTGACAAGTAAGGCATCGACTGATGTACTCGGCTATTTCCCTCTTCATACCAGACCACCAGTAACTTTCTTTCAAGTCACGATACATCTTCGTGCCCCCTGGGTGCATGGCATAAGCCGATGAATGAGCCTCCTCTAAGATGGACTTTCGGAGCTCCCCATCTGCCGGCACACACACTCGGTCACGAAATAATAAGAGACCGTCATCTCTTTCCCTGAAGTCCTCCACTGGTCCCGCTTGCATGCGTTCTCGGATCCTTATGATTTCCTCGTCAGTTTCCTGACCCTTCTTGATCTCATCAAGCAAAGTAGGTCTCACCTCAAATCGTGCCAATAAGGCTCCATTACTGGATACCTCCAGTTGGGCTCTTAAAGCCCTCAAGTTAGCTATCAATGCCCCAGATGAGCTTTTCCGGCTCAAGGCATCTGCCACCACATTGGCCTTGCCTGGATGGTACTCGATTACCAGGTGGTAGTCTTTTATCAACTCCATCCACCGTCTCTGCCTCATGTTTAACTCTTTCTGAGTAAACACGTACTTCAAGCTCTTGTGGTCAGTGTATATGTGGCATGTCTCCCCGTAGAGATAATGTCTCCATATCTTAAGTGCAAACACCACTGCCCCGAGCTCCAAATCATGAGTAGGATAATTTACCTCATGTTTCTTCAATTGTCGTGAAGCATAGGCAATTACCCTCCCATTCTGCATCAACACACATCCAAGCCCTTGGATGCTTGCATCGCTATAGACATCGTACCCCATACCCTGTTTGGGTAATGCGAGTACCGGTGCCTCGGTCAATCTCCTCTTTAGTTCAATGAAACCTTCCTCACATTTGTCATCCCATACAAACTTAGCTCCTTTACGAGTGAGTTTCGTCAATGGTGATGCCAAAACGGAGAACTTCTCCACGAACTTTCTGTAGTAGCCTGCTAACCCAAGAAAACTACGAATTTCCTTGACGTTCTTTGGCCTCTCCCATTCGGTAATGGCCTCTATCTTCTTGTTATCAACCGCAATTCCCGATCCCGAAACCACATGCCCGAGAAAGCCAATCTCCTTTAGCCAAAATTCACATTTAGAAAATTTGGCATAGAGTTGCTTCTCTCGTAGTGTCTCAAGAACGAGTATCAAGTGTTCCTCATGCTCTTCC